CAAAATATCATACATTATCTCTAGCTGGTGTATATACTCTACCATTCAAAAGTTTAGGTAAAAAAAAAAAAAAGTTACAAATGTTATAAAAGAATCCTGAAAAATAAAATGAAACACGGTTTCCACAAAAATATTGGGCAGCACAACTGTTTAGTAATCAGAAATGTTTGTTGAGCAGCAAATCAGCATATTAGAATGATTTCTGAAGATCATGTGACACTGAAGACTGGAGTAATGATGCTGAAAATACAGCTGCGCATCACAGAAACATTCACTTGACAAATCCAACTTACTGATCTACTGTTTAAGCTTCTTCTTCTACTTCTTCTGAGAATAACCCCTAGAAATTTCAAGCTATGACCACCAAACTCAACTCAGACCTTCAGGATGTTATGACTGTATGCTATCTTTCAAATCTACAAAAAAACAACAAAAAAAATCCCTTTCAATTAAGTAGTCAAAACTTTCACACAATAATTCTTACAGTGTTGTATCTGTATATTTATCCATCACAAAAAAATCCTAGCTTAGGACATGCTATAATGTGCTGAAACATGCTACAAACATGATAACAGCATGTCAAAACTTTGATAAAATAACTCTTAAGTAGTTCACTTCCAGAATGAAAATTCTGTCATCCTTTACTCACCCTCCACTTGTTCCAAACCTGTATGAGTTTCTTTCTTCTGTTGAACACAAAAGATGATATTTTGAAGAATGTTGGTATCCGAACAGTTGATGGGCACCATTGACTTTCATATTAGGAAACAAAAATACTATGGAATTCAACAGTGCCCATCAACTGTTCAGATACCAACATTCTTCAAAATATCTTCTTTTGTGTTCTACAGAAGAAAGAAACTCATACAGGTTTGGAACAAGAGGAGGGCGAGTAAATGACGACAGAATTTTCATTCTGGAAGTGAACTACTCCTTTAATATTCAGTATTAGGTTACATCCACCAAGTTACAGACCTTCATGTCCATGTATGAAACATATATGAGAAGAGGTGAACTTGTGTGTGTGTCTAAATGGAATAAATGTCATTTGGAAGAACAAATAAATACATCACATTTCACTTGTGCATCCTCTGCATAAATGTGTAGCATGCTTTTCACGTCAGCCTCATCTACCAGCATACACATGGATTCTCGCACGCACACAGCAGATCACATAGCTCAGGTCCGCTGAATTGTTTCAAGCGAGGGTGTGTTTTATTTTTGCTGACAGAGAGTGTGTTCATCAAATCTGGAATACTGGCTGTAGTGAGGTAAAAAGACTGTGTATCTATGACTGCAGCCACATCTAACATTAAACACACATCCTGAGCACACGTCTTTCAGACCGGGCCCGAAGCGCTTTAGCACCAGAGTAGAGAGCATCAGAGTGTGTTTCAGTGGAAATGCATCACCGTCTGGAGTCGTGTAAACCGTGTGTTCAGTCGCTGTCGCTCGTGTCGCTGCTGGGGTCGCCCTGGACTTTGTTGCGGTGCTGCATGGCGCGGTGATACGCCACCTGAACAGACTTCCTGATGTTCGACTTCCGGCCTTCCAGCATCTTCTCCTTGTCCAGATCCTGATTGACGCCCAGAGGAACCAGTTTGGAGCGCGGCAGCCATTGCCTGCACACACACACACACACACACACACACACACACACACTCGCACACACACACTCGCACACACGCACACACACGCACACATTTAGTGTCGCTTTTCTCATCCACATGTACTTTCAGCTCTGTACAGCATGTTCATGTTCATTTCCTCTGGCCTATTTCTCTCTGTTTGTCTGCACACAGAGATGCTGACAGGGCTACAACGCTCTCATGAGAAGGTCAAAGTGGATCAACATCAACTAGCATTATGGAGCCTCTTGTAATGAGAAAGATCATTAAGATGTTTTGCATTAAGATTTTAATGAATATTAAGCACATTATCCCCCGCCTGCATTTACCATGATGATTCAGGAGGACCCCTGTACTACAGTAATGATTGTGTGATCATTAAGAATAATCACCATTAAAATGCTGCAAATTACCAAAAAAAATAAAAAATACCTCAAATGAGAATTTTAAGACACTTCACAGTAATGAGAATGAGATTTTTGGTCATTATGGTATGGCAATTACAGTAAAATGCACTTAGTTGTGAAATAGATGCATTTCTAGGTTTTTGAATATCAATGTAAGAATATCATTTCTGCTCTCACTGGTGCAAGTGAAGAGAAGATTCAAGATCAAAGACATAAACCGCATGCTGAAAAATATATCCGTCACCTCAGTGGAAAAATTACCAAGAGAAGTTTGTATGACTGTATGTGTGGAAGATTCCTCTCATCACAGCAGCGACTTCAAAACACGAGGACGAAAGCGAGTGGAAAGTTCAGAAGAACAGCATTTATTTGAAACAGAAATCTTTTGTGGCATTATAAATGTCTTTACTGTCACTTTTGAACAATTTAATGGGTCCTTGATGAATAAAGCTATTAATTTCTGAGCCCAAACATTTGAAGAGTAGTGTAATTGTGGTTCCTCTTAAATGTATGAGCATTTTTGACAGACACAAACATTTGTGTGTGTGTCCTAACAGTGCAAAAAGCAGGAGGAAGAGCATGAGCGTGTAACTAACCAGGTCCTCTTGTTGTCGAAGAAGAGCACGAGGAAGAGATGCTCGCGCGTCTCCTGCATCATCTGCTCTCCCTGCTTCAGCACCTCTATCGGCGGGACAGGAATCGGGACGCCCCGGTGGAACACACCGTCCCGTGGCATCTTGGGATCAATGATCTGTGGGAAAATATCGCACGTCTCAAAATGAGAAGAGTGGACTGAAGCGGCCCCTGCTGGACACACACAGCAACAGCACCTTCTGTTGAACTTCGGTCATAGAGGGAACAGAACTCAACATGTCTGATAGACTACAGGTGAAGTGCTGCAGTTAGATCCATTTGAGTATTTTGGGTTATTTGTTGTTCCACAGTCCAGCCCAGAATGGTACAACATGCCAATGGAAAAACAAAACCTAATGTGCTCCATCAAAATGAGTCATTACATATTAAATACTTGTTTTGGCTGTTCAAATGTTACTATGGAATTACAACTATTGTTTTTTAGCTCTGCAATTCAGATGGAAGCAATGCATAGTGTCTCTGATCAGCTCCTCTTTACAACAAAATTACAGTAAATAAATAAATTAATAATGAACATCAGATGAGATGTAGAGAGCGTTTCAACCACGGAAAGATGCTATAAAACAACATGCACCTCAGGAGAGCCATGCGCATAGATTTTCATTTACTTCAAGACCATATAGATGAAATAATTTTACATATATGCACTGTATTTCACATGCATGATATTTTAGTCAACCTGTCTTAAGAGTTTAATGTATGCATGAATACAATCTCCTAATTTGGTCAAAAAATGCCAGAACAGTTTTTATGACAGCCTCCAGGATTATCTTGTCAACGATCTGGAGCAGAAACAGAGGCTTTCCTTTTCATTCAGTGCACGAAACTCAAAATGTGAGAGTCAAACCCACTCAAACTGATGGAGCCGGCCACTTTTATTTCTTTGGAGTAATGAGCAGTACATTCTTCAAAATGACTGCTGCTTCATGCTTCCTTTTTGGAATGAAACACAACTCCGACATGTTCATCGACAGGCTTCATGAGACTGATCAAATGAAAGCAGAGTGAAAGCGCTTGCCTTGAAGTCTGTGTTAGGTGCAGCTTTCGTGGACGAGAGCATGCAGTGTGACACTCACCAGAGCGGGGTATGATGGGTATCCTCTGCACTTGGCCCACGCCAGATCCAGAGCGTCGAGAGAGCTGTAGTCATCTGAACCCATCCAGCATCCAGAGCGGCCCCGGCCCCGAACCACTGCAAACACACACACGGGTCAGGCCACAGACAGAATGCATGCGGGCCGGTCTGATGCGTGCGTCTGCTGCACTCACAGTGAGACACTCCTCGGGATCCTCCCATGGAGTAGGAGTCGTTCTCCGTGCCGGACGTTTCCTCGCTGCTGTCCTCCTGAAAGGCAGAGCGTGAGAACGAGGCTTTTCCACGGCCCTGTTTAGAAGGAGTGGTGCTGCCGAGAGAAGAACAACAGCAATAGATGACACTCGCATGATCCGCATGCACACATCACCCCGCTCTCTTAAAACAGATCAACAGCTATTTGTTTGTGTGTGTGTGTGTGTGTGTATATGCGAGTGTGTGTGTGAGTGTGAGAGAGAAAGTGTGTGTGTGTGTGAGAGAGAGTGCGTGAGTGTGTGTGAGTGAGTGAGTGAGTGAGTGTGTGTGAGTGAGTATGCGAGTGTGTGTGTGAGTGTGAGAGAGAAAGTGTGTGTGTGTGTGAGAGAGAGTGCGTGAGTGTGTGTGAGTGAGTGAGTGAGTGAGTGTGTGTGTGTGAGACTGTGTGTGTGTATGCGAGTGAGTGTGTGTGTGTGTGTGTATGCATGTATGTATGTATGCGAGTGAGTGAGTGAGTGAGTGAGTGGGTGTGTGTTTGTGTGTGTGTGTATGTATGCGAGTGAGTGTGTGTGTATGCGAGTGTGTGTGTGTGTGTGTGTATGCGAGGGAGTG